CCTGTCCCTCCATCCCTTCTCCCAGGTCCCTCTGCAGCTCTCTTGGAGCCCCTTTAGGCACTGGAAGGGGCTCTAAGGTCTCCCTGGAGCTTCTCTTCTCTTCGCTGAACACCCCCAGCTCAGCTCCCTGGCAGAGGAGCTCCAGCCCTGGGATCATCCATTATTTTTCTCCATTCTCCCCAGCACTCACTGACCAAGATCAGAGGGTGTTGACGTTTGCCAACATGAACTGGTGACTCCAAGTCACTCTGATCCATACCCTGTGGAAAAGGAATAAACATCATTGCAGAGTTTGTGTTTTGCTGTGTGACTTGTCTTTCTTGCTCCCTGGCAGAGGAGCTCCAGCCCTGGGATCATCCATTATTTTTCTCCATTCTCCCCAGCACTCACTGACCAAGATCAGAGGGTGTTGACGTTTGCCAACATGAACTGGTGACTCCAAGTCACTCTGATCCATACCCTGTGGAAAAGGAATAAACATCATTGCAGAGTTTGTGTTTTGCTGTGTGACTTGTCTTTCTTTCTCTAGGCTGTTTTCTTTTTCTAGGACTCACATCAGGAGACTTCAAAACATTCTTTTTTCTTCTAGCTTTTCTCTGGAAAATGATCTCTTCCTCACTGTCACTGCTGGGTCCTGCAGAAAACAGAGTAAACATCTTTCCCAAAACACAGACAACAGGAAATGTACAGCTCAGGACACAGTCCTGCTGGGAGTGAGCAATCACAACCTGCCTCTCTCAGAAAGCACCTCCAAAGGAGATTACTTATTGATCCACGTGGCAAATATTGTTCTCTTTAGCCTTGTTAATCAAAACAGATAATCTCCAGCAGGGAGGGACAATAAATCCTGTTTCCCTGGAGAGTCTCAGGCTGGAGGTGATTACCTCAGGCAGCACAGGGACAGCAAAAAGGAAGGGAAACGGGAAACTGAGAGCAGAAGCCCTTAAAAGTTGAGTCAGGGTTACACTTCCAGTAGCATTTTGTGACACAAGTCCCTTTGGGTGCACTGAAGTCCAGAGGAGGCCAAGGAGATGCTCTGAGGGCTGGAGCAGCTCTGCCATGGAGCCAGGCTGGGAGAGCTGGGGGTGCTCACCTGGAGAAGAGAAGCTCCAGGAATACCTTAGAGCCCCTTTCAGTGCCTAAAGGGGCTCCAAGAAAGCTGCAGAGGGACTTGGGACAAGGAATGGAGAGGCAGAACACAAGGAAGGGCTTCACACTGACAGAGGGCAGGGATAGATGGGATACTGGGAAGGAATTGTTGGCTGTGAGGGTGGTGAGACACTGGCACAGGTTGCCCAGAGCAGCTGTGGCTGCTCCATCCCTGGGAGTGTTCCAGGCCATGTTGGATGGGGCTTGGAGCAACCTGGGCTAGTGGAAGGTGTCCCTGCCCATGGCAGGAGGTGGATCTAATGTCCTTTCAACCCAAACCATACTAGGATTCCATAAGAGATTCGAGGTTTGTGCTGAAGTTATAATCAGAAAACTTCAAACAGTTCAGTTGTCATGTGACTAAACAGAAAGAAATCCCTCAGTAGAGTTTCTACTCCTCAGGAACAGTGACAGGAAAATCTGAGGGCATGGATTCAGGGATTGACGTGCAACAGATCCAGATGAGTATGAATCAGACTCTGAGGAGATTAAGGAAGAGCTTTAAAGGCAGCTGTGGCTCACGCAATTACGTCTCCCATGGTTTAACACCTGTGATGAGCTAGAGGAGGTTTAATCCCAAATCCTTCCCCCAACAGCCATTCCTGCAGTGCAGTCTGGTGCCTACACCTGTATGCAGGGTGAAGTCTCCACCCAATTCCTAGTATTACAGCCATTATCCCTTTTCTTTTCAACCTTCCCACCTTAGTCATAAAACCAAATAGAGGACCCAAGAGGTACTGGATTCTGTTCACTGAACACAAAGATACTCAGAGCTGCCCCACAAAAATCCCTACCTGCAGCAGGACACACATGGGATCTACAGAGGTTGGTGTCTTCCAGGTCTGCAGTTCTTCCCAAGGGGGAATCAAGTGCATCCATGGCTGAACTCCTGAACGTCTGCCCACATGGGTTTTCATCGATTTTATCTGCCAGAGGCACCTCTGGAGTTTCCTCCCTGGCACCGTTGAAGACTTTCCTAGGGATTCTTTTGATAGCTTTGACATTCATGCCCTTCCTACTTCTTGGGGTGAAAAGCGCCAAAGACAAAGCTTCAGGTGATCTTCTTCCTGTTCTCCTGCCTCCTGACTCCAGGAAAGGCACTGCAGCAGAAATGTCCTCTGTCCCTTCCCTGGCATTCATGTCCCTACCCTGGAATGACAATGGAGTGGAATTGTCTCTTCTCTCAAGAGTTCTGCAGTCCTGTTCTGGAGAGGTTTCCATTCTGGAGTTATCCCTCAGGAATGCTGTTCTAGCCTCAGTGGATTTACCACCTGCATGACTCCCTAAGGTGCTGTTTGATTTACTGATGTTAATAGGATTTGTGTTCTCCTCAGAGGTGTCACTGTCACACCCCTCAATGGCAAAGCCCAGGTCAAAGGTGACTGAGAACAGCTCCTGAGAACAGTCATAGAGGTCATCATCCTCCAGGCCCTGCTCACTCACTCCTGGTGTTTCCATGGCTTTGCTGCTTTGGTGCTGCTCCTTGGTGGCATCCACACAGGACACTTCTGTGGGACACCCCCTGGAGCCTTGCCCTGCACCTGGCCTGAGGGCACTGTCCCTTGGGCCTGATCTCTCTGGAGGCTTATTGCTCACAGAGCACCTGCCAGGGACTGTGTCATCAACCTGGTCATCCTCAAACAAATGGATACTCTGCTCTTCATCCAGAACCACCTTTTGGTTCCAAATGTCAACATCTTTTTGAACAAAGAGCTCATTTGAAGGGTTATCTGTCAGGGTGTGGCTCACTGCTGAAGTGTCCTCTTGGGTTTCAGTGAACTCAGCATCAAACAGGCTATCAAAGCTCTCATTCCAGGGGTGTTCCTCTAGGGCTCCAAGAGCAGCCTCGGGAGACGGCACAGTTTTGGCCAAACTGGGACTTCCAGAAGTGCAGAATTCCCTGGGGCCTTTCAGGTTGGGGTTTTCAAAGAGCAGCAGTGAGCGACCAGGTTCTGAGGCCGGAGGGAGGACACTGTCCTGCAGTGCCTCCGAGTCACCATCACAAACAGCTCCTGGAACAGGACATGTTGTTTCTTCACTTCTCATCACTTTATCCAGATCATCCAGTTCACTGAGAGGGGGAGGAGACTGTGCTAAAAGCCTCTGCACAGGGGACAATGGCTGTTTCAGCCCAGGAGACTCCTCACGTGGTCTCACAGGCACAAAGGGATCCACATAGGGTTCAGGGAGATAGAACAAGTCAGAGGACACGGGTGATGTCTCATAACCTGAATCTTCCTGGTTCACCCCCAGGGTCCTGCTAGCTTCCTTTGCAGGTTTTATTTCCTTTGTGGCTGCACTGTCAGGTATTTCAGTGCTCTCACTGCTGTCACAGACGTCGATACATGCATTTAAGTCAAAGGTCACCTCTAGTTCCTCCTTATTCTCACTGCCCTGCTCAGTGTGTTCAGCCACAGCAAGGCTTCTTCCTGAAGGAGAAGCCAAGGGATCTGCAGGCAGCACAGGCATTTCCACACTGAATGCAGAAGTTCTTTTGGGAGCCTTTGGTTTGGTGATTTTAAAGATGGCAAAAAATTCACTCTCATTATCAGCTGTACCAGGTGAGAGTGAGTTCATTTTCGAGGTGTGTCCTACATTCCTAGAGGAGTGAGCTCTCTGATCACAGGTGGAGTTGGCCACAGTGTGGTGACTTTTCTTCCCTGGAACATGTACGTCTTCCAAATGTAAGTGAGGCTGGAGCTCCAACTCATAGCTGCAATCTCCCTGGGGACAAAGAGTGCAGCAGTTACTATGGAGACTCCCAGGCTGCCCAGGCCTGGCCAAAAGGGTATTTAAAACAAGAGACAGAGGTTTCATACTCTAAAGAACTTCTCACTCTCCTACGCTGAACCAATTTTCCACAGATGCTTATTGATCCTCTGTTCAAAAAGGCAACCAGCTCTTAAACAGAAACTTGGAAAGAGCTCAGGGGACTTGGACAGCACTCCCAGTTAAGGATCATAGAATGAATCAAAGACTGTTAAGGGGTTGGAATGCACCTTAAGAGATCACCCAGCCCCAACCCCCTGCAGGGACACCTCCCACCAGAGCAGGTTGCTCAAGGCTTTAGCCAACCTGGCTGTGAACACTGCCAAGGTTGGGGCAGCCACAGCCTATCTGGGCAACCTGTGCCAGTGTCTCACCACCCTCACAGCAAGAACTTCTGCCTAAGATCTAATCTTAATTTCCCTCTTTCAATTTCTCCCCATTCTTCCTTGTCCTTCACTGCAGTTCCTATCCAAGTCCCTCCACAGCTTCCCTGGAGCCCCTTCAGATCCTGGCAGGTGCTCTGAGGTCTCCACTTGACCTTCTCTGGGTGGAAAGGTTGTTTTCCTTATTGCCCTTCTCAGCTCCTTTTAAATGAAGATTTCAACACTAAGGCAGAAAAGGAGCAGCAAGGGCCCTGGGAGGCTCTGAAAGCAAAGCTGTGAAATGTCCATTTGAAGTTCAAACCTGGTCACCAGTAACAGACAAAACTGAGGCTGTGAGATCTGAACAAAAAGTACAATTATTTGTTGGCAGCTCAGTCAGGTGAATCCCTAGACTGCTTAATCCCTGAAATGGAACAACTTTATGAAACAGTGGGTGAGACAACTGACTTCTACAAGAACAGATTACCTGGGTTAGCTGCTCCCTATGCAAGTAACAGTCTCCTAAAGTCTTATCATACATATATGCAATATATATATATACACATATATATCATATATAACCATGTCTGAGTAGGAAAAATTAAGTTCCTCATAATTTTCAGGAGGAATTTCTCCATGGAAAGGGCTGTCAGGCATTGGAATGCGCTGCCCAGGGAGGTGGTGGAGTCACCATTCCTGGAGGTGTTCAAGGTACAACTAGACAAGGCACTTAGTGCTCTGCTCTAGCTGGTAAGTGGTGATGAGAACAGGTTGGATAGCTTAGGTTGTAAGAGTATCCAAAGGAACCAAAAGGTAGGATGTTTTACAAACAGACCTCTGAGGAGATCCCCAGGATCACACCAGGTGACTCGTGAGGAGTATTAACAGCAAAGCAGTGAGGGAAGCCATTGTGATGAAAGGGTTAAGGGCTGATTTTGATATGTGCAGGTTCTAAATAATTAGTTTCCCTCAAGCTCAGGCAAAACACAGAATGCAGATAAGGAATCCTTTCTATGAAATCCAAGAGGAACAGCAAACACCAGCCCAGCATGGCCTGTCCAACTACCTGCCCACATGTCACCTGAGGAGCTGGAAGGTTTGGCTGGCAAGATAATGGTACTGATAATGGTGTGTTTAGCTTTATCTAAGTAACAGCTGAATGTTGCACAATATTTCAATTAAAGTATCCAACTATTAGACAAACAAGGCATATTAAATGGATTAAGGACTCATTAGCTTCCAAACCACTAAACCTTATTGAAACAGAAGTAGGTGAAGCTCTTGCCCACTCCATACACCTCCAAGAGTGCAGCATGGGTCAGTCTTGGCCTAATACTGTTCTGCAGCACCAAACTAACCAAACTACAAAACCCAAACCTACAAACCCAAGCCTAATCAAGTTACTAATCAGCCAATAAAGTTGCCCAGAGCAGCTGTGGCTGCTCCAACCCTGGGAGTGTTCCAGGCCAGGTTGGATGGGGCTTGGAGCAACCTGGGCTGGTGGAAGGTGTCTCTGCCCATGACAGGGGTGGGATGAGATGGGATTTAAGGTCCTTCCAACCATTCCATGATTCTATCACAGAAAACAGGAGGAATGAGGAATTGTTACACCAAGAACTTCAGAAGGCCACTGCAGACACCCCAGATTCTGTTCCCAGCTTGGCAACCCCAAATTCCCGAAAGCACCCCTGTGTGCCTGGACAACAGCCCAGCAGACAAATTTAGCATCTAGGACAAGCTTTAGTAACCTAATTTCAGGCTTACACGGAGTTATATAACTGTTCCAGTTAAACTCAGGCATTCCAAATACTTTCTCCCAACCAAGCACTGTGCCCTAGCGAGCTCAGTTAATGCTCAGGGAGTGAAAGGGCACATGTGGAATTATCACATTTTAGCCTCAATGTGCACAACTTGTGGAACCTTAAATTACCTGCTCAGCTCTCCTCCAACATCCTGAGCCCCAGTGTGTACCAACTACTCCCTAAGTAGGTCAGGCAGGAGCAGGAAAACATCTCTTACACTGATGTGCTAAATCAATGCCCCTGCTTAGAATACTGATTAAACAGCAATATATAGTTTGAATACAGAAAATAAAAAGGGAAAAGTAAACTTCAGACATTCAAATGTTCACATTTAATATAGAAATATATGTCTAATTATATCCATTCTGTTCTCTAGCATTTAATGCATCAACTACCTGTCAATGATTGACATTGAATGTCAATCTCTGTCACCTACAAGCTCTTTGGGTGCACATTCTGATACCAGATACAGGCAGCTTTCTGCCCAGACCCTGGTGACTAGCCATGTGGAAATGAAAAGATAAGTCTGATAAAACTGACACAATGTAGATTTTAACCAGTAAAACTTCTTTAATGGAAAGCTTGAGTGAAGCTATACAGAAGATACCCTGAAACGTGCTCTGAACAAGGTCTTTAAAGTCCTTTCAACCCAAACCACTCTGAGATGCTATGGATTCTTTATGATCACCTTTTACTTCTATTACCCAAAATGATGCTTTTCTGCTGTACAAATGATCATTTCTCAGACCATTTTCAACCAGGTGAAGCACTCTGATGGATCTGGGACTGCACTGCCCCTTCCAGTCCAGGCCATGAGTTATTTGTGCTTTCCAGGACTCACCAATCCCTGTTCCATCATTGCTTTGTTTCCCCCACCAAACAGGTCTGATTTCAAACTCCAAAAGCATGGAAAAGCTTTTGGGGCTCACTGGGATTTCAGGGTGTCCTGAGAACATTCCT